ATTTCATCCTAAGTACAGAGCTGATCCGGAAGACTTAAGTAGTCCAGAATTTTCCTCTTCAGGGAGCTTTGGCTTGAAACATCTGGACAGCCACTTAACACTTTCCTATTTTTGCAGAACATTCTCGGCTGGCCTTTTTTCAGGATTATCCATAGCCAAGGGCTCCTCTCACCTCCGGTGCCCTCCTCTTCTCTACCCACCCAATTCCCATGGCCCCCGAGCCCTGAACTCCCCTAAAACCAGATGCTCATTTTCCTCACTGCCAGTCCCCAGGAATTTCTTTGGCTCTCCGAGAGAGACATAGCTGCTTCTGTATGTGTGGGGCTCCAGGAGCATGGGCTGGGCTGTAGGGTCCCTCTTCCCAGGCTCTGTGTTTTAACCCTAGGGTGTGCCAAACAGGCATTGTTTCCGGGGTTGTCAGGAGCAGCAGCAGGCTAGAGATGGTTGATAAGGTATGCTGTAAAGCCAGATGGAGGCTGGAAGGGCTGGCCAGACTGGACAAGGATGAAGACAGAGGACGAGGTCTGAGTGTGGGCATTATTGTGGTAGCCAGGCAGTCCTCAGCTTTGATGGAGGGAAGAAGGACCCATGGGGGATACCCAGGCACTCTCCCTCTATAGGGAAATGCTTCAAGCTGCATCATCGAGGGGGGCCTGGGAGCTGGTGGAGACAAGGAGGCTGCTGGCCAGGCTGGAGATGACCTTGAGAGAGCTGGTGTGCTGGAGAGGAGGGGGCAGGAAGGAGGAGCAGCAGAGAGGATGCAGATGGGAGGGGGCAGGGTAGAGCCAGGCCACTTGCTTCTGTCTGCCTTCCTCCTGGCCAGGAGAGACTGACACAGACACAAGCTTGTGGCAGTGGGTGGTTGGGGACAGGGTGTCCTTGAGCCACCAGGTCCTCCTGAGATGAGATCCCTCATTGTGTTCCCTGGGGATGTAGCTGCTCACTGTACACCCCCTTTCCAGTCTGAGGGATGCAGTCCTCAGCCTTTGCTCTTTAAAGGGGATTGGGGATATGGTTCACTTGGTGGAACTCTTGTCCTGGATTTGATCCCCAATATGTAAACACCAACAGCAGCAAAAGGTTTTGGGAGATGGGGGCAGGGAGGGGATTGAACCACATGAGGCTCCAGGTGCAGGAACTTCTGAGATGGTTTTCCCAGCAGTCCACCTATCATTTTGTCATTTGTTGTTTGTTTTTTGGGACAGCGTTTCATGCAGCCCAGGCTGGCCTCAAACTCACTCTGTGACCTTGAACTCTTCTTTCTCTGTCTCTGTCCCCATGTCTTGGCTCTCCCTCTCTGTAGATGGGTCTCACTACACAGCTTTGGTTGGTCTGGAACTCGCTAGTAGACCAGGTTGGCTTTGAACTCATAGAGACCCACCTGCCCACTACCCCCCAACCCCCCCCCCCAGTG